GGGGGACATTAAAGCTTCTGCTGACTCACATCAATGTTGGGGATTTCTTTGGAAGAGACCACTAAAAACTGGCGTCTTGTCATTTTCTGACTGGATTTTGCTTGTGCCTGTTAGAAATCCAGGTTCTGAGCTTCCACTGGCTGTCCTTGTCCCCTAGCCGGGCTGGGCAGGATGATGTGTCACAGGAGCTCGCTGGCCCCTGGCCCGCTCGGATGGTTCCCCAAGGGCTCAGCTCAGCGCAGCCGGGAGGTGGAGTGCTGAGAACAGGAGCTGCGCTGTGGGATCTGGCTTCTCCTCCTGTTCAGAGACCCAGGGCAGCGCTTGTGCTGGTGTCTTCTCGCTGGGGAGTCCATCCAAAGCTGTTCTGACCAGGGGGTGCAGTCTGCCCTGGGTGAGGAGAAGCTTTCAGAGGTGCCTACCACCACGTGCCACGATTCCTGTAATTCTTGGGCAGAAACTGTGGTATGATGTGACTGATCTTCAGGTCTGACATCACTAGTTAATGTCTGGACACTTCCAGGAGTTCCCCTGGCTGTTACATTGGGAAATGTTTAGATCATTATTTTATCAGAACAGATGTATATGGAAAAGTAAAGCCATGAGAAAAGGGTGGAGATGGGGGAGGAACAGGGAATACCAGCGGAGGATCAAATGTAGGGATCTGGTTGAAGCTTAAGGCACTGGGATGCTCTTTTATATTACTTTATTTCTGCTTTAAAATTAAAAAGAAAAATAATTGACTGCCCAGATTGATTCAGGCTGAGCACAAGGGGAAGCGCATCAGCTTGTGAGTGCAGCTCTCACCTGTGGGGCTCACACAGTCACTTGTGCAGTGGAATTGTACAAGGGGGCTGCACACGCAGACCAAACTCATTTGCTTTCCAATTAGTGACGCTTTTAAAACAAACCATCTGCCAAAACATTCTTTCTAATTCTTCTATTCTGTCAGCAGGCCATTAAGTATCTTGTTTGTCCCATTTCTATTAATCCATTTAAAATAATAAATTCATAGTGATGATGAAATACAAAGTGAAAATCACATCTCCCTCTCACTCACCTCTTCCCTGCAGGGTACGCGGCTGCTTTTTTCCCCTCTGGTTGTACCAGCACTTTAATCGTACAGCTACAACACGCAAATTGTGTCTTGTTTTGATGCCATGTGATGCCATTTGCCTGTTTATCTTTCATGATATAAAAATCCTCTCTTTATTTGGAGCCTCCCTCTGCGGGAGATTGTCAGCTCTGCAACTGGAGCATCTTGGAAGCAGCTTCGAGCCTTGCTGCACTTGGTGTTCCTGTTTTAGTTCCTGGACCTTTGCCTTTGAAATTGCAGCCAGAAAGCCTGACTCTAGAAAACCCTACTTGACAATTTTTGGGGACATCTGAGTTTCTCTCGTTTGTGCTAAGGATCTAAAGCTGCTGGAGAGTGTCCAGAGGAGGGACACAAAATTGGGGAAGGGTTTAGAGGGGAAGGGTGTGAGGAGAGGCTGAAGTCACTTGGTTTGTTCAGCCTGGAGAAGAGGAGACTGAGAGGAGATCTCCTGGGGGTCTAGAACTTCCTCCCAAGGGGAAGAGGAGGGGCAGGCGCTGATCTCTTCTCTCTGGCCACCAATGAATGCCAGGAGCAGAGGGAATGGCAGGAAGATGTGGCAGGGGAGGGTGAGGTTGGCCATGAGGAAAAGGTTCTTGAGGCAGAGGGTGGTGGAGCACTGGAACAGGCTCCCCAGGGAGGTGCTCATGGCACCAAGCCTGACAAGATTCCAGCAGCATTTGGCCAAGGCCCTCAGGGACATGGTGTGAATGTTGGGATTGTCCTGTGCAGGGACAGGAGTTGGGCTCCATGATCCTTGTGGGTCCCTCCCAGCTCACAACATTCGACGATTCAATGATTCTATATATTTCTTTTTTTCTTTTAATTTGTGCTGCAGGAATAGGGAAGAATGTGATCTGTGAGAAAGCTGCTACCTCTGTGGATGCCTTCAGGATGGTCACAGCTGCCAGGTATTACCCGAAGCTGATGAGCATCGTTGGCAACGTTCTCCGTTTCTTGCCTGCCTTTGTGAAGATGAAGCAGTTGATAGAAGAACACTATGTGGGCAATGTGATGATCTGCGACGTACGAGTCTATGGGGGAAGCCTGCTCAGCCACAAGTACAACTGGATCTGCGATGAGCTGATGGGGGGAGGTGGTCTGCATACAATGGGCACCTACATTATCGACCTCCTAACTCACCTCATTAGCAGGAGAGCAGAGAAGGTCCATGGTTTGCTCAAGACTTTTGTGAAGCAGAACACAGCTATAAGCGGGATCCGCCACGTCACTAGCGATGACTTCTGCTTTTTTCAGATGCTAATGAGCGAGGGTGTCTGTTGCACTGTGACTCTCAACTTCAACATGCCTGGATCATTCCTCCATGAAGTCATGGTTGTTGGGTCTACTGGTCGCCTCATAGCTCGTGGGACGGACTTGTATGGGCAGAAAAACACTGCGCTCCAAGAAGAACTACTGTTTACAGACTCTCTGACTGTCAACAAGGGCCTTTTAGATAAGGGGTTTAAAGACATCCCGCTGCTGTACCTGAAAGGAATGGTGTACATGGTGCAAGCCCTGCGGCAGTCTTTCCAAGACCAGGAAGACCGTCGGACGTGGGATCATAAACCTGTCTCCATGGCAGCCTCTTTTGAAGATGGTCTGTACATGCAAAGTGTAGTAGAGGCCATCAAGAAGTCCAGCAGGTCAGGGGAGTGGGAGGCTGTGGAGGTGATGACCGAGGAACCAGATGCCAATCAAAACCTCTGCGAGGCGCTTCAAAGAAATAACTTATGAACGTTCCTGCTTTGGAAAATAGGACGGTTAACAGGTCTGGCTACAATGCAAAAAACCTCTCCGTTTTTAAGATACGTAGATTCTTATTTAATAACTTGAGTTCCTTGGGTTTTTTTAAACGTGTAAAATATGTCGTGTTCTGATAGAAACTGTTCGGATTGAAATCGTTTAAAGAGTTTTAAATGTTTCCGTTTTTTTGCAAACGGTTAATTTTTGTCTTGGAGACTGGTAGGAAAACTTGAATTGCCCTTTGCACTTGCAGTGGCTGAAGTGAAGGCTGGGACCTCTGCCATTGCCTGGCTTGGAAAGGGACACAACCCCTGTTGCACAGGTCGCTTATTTTAACAATTTTGACGTGAGAGCGCATAGAGCAAGATCAGGGAGTATTTGGTGTTCAGATGCCTTTTCCTTCTCTCTTGGAGACTGATTAAGTTTTACTCCTTGGTTTGTGAGATTTTTGTACCACAGTTTGGTGATGTAACAGATCTCTCAACTCCTATAGGACAAAATTTAGAAGGAATGGATTAAAGTCACGTAAGGATCAGCATTTTGGCTTCCTGCACTTGGCAAATCTCTTTCAAATTCCTTTACATTGGTATTTTATTTAAATGATGCTATAAATTGTCTGTTGACAGTGTCTTGTCAGGAAAATCTTCAGGAAGTCTGTGATGATTTATGCAATTCTTCCTTACCTGTAGACCTTACTCCTTCTACTCAAGAGGCTGCCTGCATCCAGCAGCTTTTCCCCTAAGCTCCGTGTCCGTCGGTTGTGTTTACTGCCTGGCAGCACCGGTGCCGTGACTGCGGGGCCACGTTCTCATTCCTGTGACTGTTAATAAATAAAGGCCTCCCAGGGTCACAGCATTTCCACGGTGTCGTGGGTAATGAAGTTGTACAGCATTAACCTTCCAGGGACTTGAAGATGGAAGTCAGGAGGTATTTCCTACCTCTTGTAACGTGCTGGCTGGGTAATTGTCACACTACACGCATCCTGATAGTTGAAAGAATGGGGACTGAACTGTCATGGGTAAGTCTGCTCTTGATCTCAAACACTGGATATTAACCCTCTAGCCCTGCCCATCCTCACGCCCTCCTGCAGCTTGTGTCCAGGGGAGAGATCTGTTGGCAGATCAAGGGTGGAAGTTCATTCCACTTAAGAAACGTTCCTCTCTGAGGCAGGTATGCGGAAGGGATAGTCCAATTTTACTACATTTATTTTGTGTACTTGAAAGCTTTTTTTTTTTTTAAATGTATTTCCCACTAAATTGTAACCCTGTGTATTTATGTGTATTAACCTGCAAACTGCTGTTTCATAAGCTGGTCCTTCCTGAAAAGTATCTTGTTTTCTACAGAAATAAAAAGTTGTGTTTGTTGAGGGCATTCTTTATGCAGCTGTGTGCTTGTGTTTAATTTGCTCAAGCTGAAACTGTCCTAATAAATGTGAAGAGGAGAGACATACAGCTGGAGCTCAGTACCTGTTGAGTCCTTCCCTCCTTCTGTGCTCTTTTGCTGCCAGCTGGCCAGCTCGGGTGTGCAAGAAGCTCTGTGGTATCTAGCAAAATAGCTCTGTGCTATCCTAGCATCATCCATTTATCACCAAGGGAAAGTAAGTCACAGAATCGTAGTGGTTGGAAAAGACCTTTAAGTTCATCAAGTCCAACCATGAACCTCACACTGCCAATCCCACCTCTAACCCATGTCCCTGAGCACCTTGTCTGCCCACCTGTTAAATCCCACCAGGGATGGGGACTCCACCACCTCCCTGGGCAGCCCATTCCAATGCATGAGAACTCTTTTGGTGAATAAATTTTTCCTCAGATCCAACCTAAACCTCCCTTGGTGCAACTTGAGGCCGTTTCCTCTTGTTCTATCACTTGGTACCTGGGAGAAGAGACCAACTCCCACCTCTCTCCACCCTCCTTTCAGGGAGTTGTAGAGAGTGAGAAGTTCTCCCCTCAGCCTCCTTTTCTCCAGGGTCCCACCAGAAGAAATGGGTTGAAGAGAGAAATCTCTGGTGCAAATCCCACCAGAGATTTCCCATCTCTTTGCTGTTTCCCTCAGCTGTGGAGCTGCTGGTTTTGGAGATCCTCTTTCCTATCTCAAACTTAGCCTGTCAACTTTTGTGATTAACAGGTTCTTTATTTTTCTGCCTGACTCATCATAGAAATTGCTGGAAGACCAACTAAGAAGCAGAATCCCCACAGTATGGATGGAACCACTTTCTTTGCTCAGTGTGTAAATCAGGTATTTACCTTTGGGTATTTACTTTCAACACGTTAAAACTCTTGATAGAACCAAGTCTACCGCCGTGCTGTTGTAGAGGGTAGGAGTGTGGCTGCTCCCGTGCTCCGCGCAATCTCATCTCTGCTCTGAGCTGGATGGGAAAAGCACATGAAATTTATTCCCTGTTCCCAGCTGTAGCAGGTGGAGCAGCGAGAGCTGAATCTCTGCAGACCTCCCTTTACAGGTAGAGGACTGGTGTTCCTCAGCCATAGCTCTGAGTGTCTCATGTCTGTGATGTCTATGTGCTATGTAAAGCAGGTGAGATCATATCTCCCGAGTTCACCTGGAAGCGGCCACCTTTGTTCAAACAGAACAGCTCTGGCTTATCTCACGCCAGTTTTGGATCTGTTTTGAACTGAGGACCTTCCTTTGTGCCTTTGTCAGTACATTTGTACTGGGCAGAAAATCCTAAGATACAACTACTCCTGCAGGAGAAGGAAGCACAAAACATCTCCAGATGATCCCAGTGAAGGAAGGAGGGTGCTAAGGCTCCTGAGTGAGTAAGAGACCTGACCACAAAAGCATCCAGAGAGGTGAAACAGACTTCTCATAGGCTGGCTACACCCCCAGCCCCCAGCTGCCCTGCACAGGCAGAGTGAGATGGTGGCTCCTTTGGATGCAGCAGGTCCCTGTTGTGGAGTCCAGGTTCTCCTGTGCCATCCCTGTTGGTCTAGCACTGAAGAGTGGAAGCACCTGCTGGTTGGTGCTGCTCACAGAGCAGGATCTGGCCACGCTCTGCTGGCTGCCAGACTGAAAGGCAGCACCGCATCATCCCCTCCCGTGTCCCTGCGTGGAGTGTTCTCCAGCAGCTGCTCTCAAGGCTGGTCCCCAGCCTCCTGCTTTTCACGCACAAGGAAGGGATGACAGCACACACATCCTCAGGCCAAGTGATGTGCAGGTATATTTTATAATGAAACATTGTAGGGGGGGGTTTCAGGCGAATCAGGTTCTCTGCAATGAGGGGAAAAAACAAACCAAACCAATAAAGCCACAGCTGTTTGTGTGGGCCAGGTGATGGTCACCACCCTGCAGGTCAGGCTGTAGCCAAACAGAAAGCTGTGGGGCTATTTATACTGAGGAAAGAGCTGTGGTATCAGGTGAGCTGTGTATCTGAGCATCCTATCAATATCAACCTGCATGGATGTGTCATCCACTTCTGGTGCTGGGATCTCCGGAGCACTCTGGGCCCAGGTATCTGCAAGAGAAGTGAGTGCATCAACAGCCCTGCCACCTCCTGGGACACAGGCACCAGCAGTGTGGGTGGGACGAGCGCTCTGGGGCTCCAGTCTGACCTCCTGCTTGGAGCAGGCCTGTCACCAGATCCAGCTGAGGCTGGCCATGGCTTTGTCCCACCAAGCCTTGGAAAAAAACTCTGGGACCTGGAGACTGCAGTCAACTGAAGAGGGCTGTCCTAAGTGTTTGTACTAAGTTGTTGTCCTAAGGTTGTTGTTAGGTTGTCCTAAGTTGTCAGTACTAGGACCAGTATTATTCAATA